TTTCCTCTCTCCCTCTTCTTTTTCTCTCTTATTCTCGATCTCTCTCTCCTCTCTCTCTCTTTCACTCACCCTCTCGGTCTCCCATTCTCTTTCTTTCTACTCTCTCTCCTTCTCCTCTCCCATTCTCTCTCTACTTTCTCTTCCTTTCGATTTTTTTTTCTCTCAAACTCTCTCTCTTTCTCTCTCTCAACTCCATATCTCTCTCTCTCCCATAGTTAGCAAATCGCCGATTAAATGGTGATTTTTTTTTTAAAATCAGCGACTTTATGGAAACCGTTTAAAACTGCGATGTATTGAAAATTAAAATTCTGGAAAAAATCGCCTATTTTTTATAAGAACATTTAAAACGTGATTTTTGGTATAACGATTTAGACCACACCAAGACATCGTTTTTTTTACAAGATTTTTTTTTTTTTTTTTTGTTAAGCAGTAGCGAGATCAATCTCCCCAACCCTAACCCCAATCCTCTATTCTTCTAATTTCTCCTCCTTTGTGACATCTTCTTCAGTCTCCTACCCTCCTCCTCTTACCACGGGAGAAGCCTCCTCATCTACCGGTGCTAATGATCTAAAATCCCTTTGATACAAAAAACCCTAGAAGTTATCAACCACAATAGGAAAAGACCCTAGAAGTCTTGACCAAAATCCCTTTGATATCAAAAACCTTTGATATAGGTCTAGCAAGCTTGGGAGGCCAAATCCCTTTGATACCAAAAACCCTAAAGTCTCGACCAAAATCTTGGAATTATTGACCACTTCTAAACACCTTGAAACCATAGAGTTCACAATCCTATCTTCTATAGAGAATGATTTAGGTTTTCCAACTCTCTTGATCTCATCTTGTGGACCTGAAACCCTGTGATTATCATTTGAAATCCCAGAACGAGACCATAGAATTACTAATCAAATTCACCAACCAATAATCTAGCGTTTTCAGTCTTCCTAGGTTCATCGTGCAAACCATAAACCACCCTCTTCTTTTTCTCTCTCTAAAAACATAGCAATGTGAAACAAGTGAAACCAAACGGCTACGAGCCCAACCCTCTTTTCAATTAAAGAAATATATATAAACTTTAACCATAGTTATAGACTGGCCATATACACTATAACATAGTTAAAAAATTTTAATGAGGAAAAAACATTAGAATTTTTTTTGGTACCTACGGAGTAGGTGTGATGTTTGTTAAAGTATTTAATGAGTAAATTTATATGGTATGGTATTTTTATTTTATTTTATGGTTTTGATATAATTTTTTTTTTTTAGAATTTCAAAATTTTAATCTTTTAAATTTATCCGATTTTTTTACTCCAATTTTTGGAGCCTAATATATTAGAGATATCTTTACATAAAGTATTTTTGTTGATATGTATTTTTTATCTAAATTTTTCATCCAACCTTTTAAAATAAAAACGATTTGTTTTTTATTTTATGGTGAGCCGATTTATTGACGGTCCCCGACTTGCTAACTATGCTTTATCCTCACGTAACCTATCCCTCTTATACTCCGTCTCTATTTCTCATCTCTCTTTCTCTCTCCCTCTATCTCTCTTCCCTCATGTAACCTCTCCTCTATCTCTCTGTATCTTTGTCCCAAATCTTCCTTTCAGGTTTCTTTTCTCTCTCCACTCTCTCACCCTCACGGGCCGCACCCACTTTCCCCCAAATCTCTTCTTTCTCTCTCCCTAAATTGTCTCTTACCATCTGGGTCATCTCTTTCCCTAACTCCCTCACTCCTAAATCTCTTTTATCTCTCATTGTAACTTATCTCTCTCCCCTTCTAAAAACCTTCTCTCACGAAAACTCACCCTCTCTCTTGTATCTATCTCTCTCCCTCTTCCCCATAAATCTCTCCAACTCTCTCACTCCTTCATGAAACTCTCTCTATCCGTCATTTCTCTCTCTCTCTTTCTCCCCCTCTCATGCAACTCTCTCTATCTCTCTATCACTCTCAAACTCTCTTTCTCTCCCTCCCTTGTATTTCTTTTCTCTCTTAACCTCACAAGCGGGCTCAACTCCCTCTCCCTCTCCTTCTCTTTTCACTCTCTCTAACACGCCATGTTTTCTCTCCCAAAAATCTCTCCAAATCCTGCTCTCTCCCACCGTAAATCTCTCACTCTCATCTTTCCTTTCTCTCCCTTAAGCGACTTCTCTCTCGTTACTCTCATCCTTTCTCTCCTCCAATATCCCTTTCTCTTTATTTCCTTTAATTTACTCTCGCCCTCTTGTTTTTCTCTCTTTCTCTCACAACTCACCCACTCTCCCCACTAAACTTTTCTCTCTCTTTTACCCTCTAATATCTCTCATTTTCTCTCTCCCATCCTTATCTCATTATCTTTCTCTCTCAAACCCATATCTCTCTTTACCTCTCTCTCGTCTCTCTCTAAATCTCTTCCTTCATTCTCTCATTCTATCTTCCCTATTTTCTATCTCTATCGAAACTCTCTCTTATCTCTATCTCATTCTCTCTCTCCAACCCATCTCACTCTCTTCTTCTTTCATCTCTCTCTTTCCCTCATCCTCATATCTCAATATCTCTCTCCCTTAATCATATTCTCTCAATTCTTGTTTATCTTGATATTCTCTCTTTCTTACTGCCATTCTTTTTATTCAAATTTCTCTCAACTTTTTCATATATATTTTTTTATTTTGCATTAATTCTACTATTTTCTAAATATTTATTGTTTCTTTATCATATATCCATATAGACACCACTTATCATCATCATTCATAGAAAAAAACATGGATCTCTTCACATTATCATACATAAACTTGTATTTTTCCATTGGCACTACATATGATTTTTCATCAATAAATTCGATTCTTTGTCACTTTATGCAAGCCTAAAATCCCATCCACTATATATTCATCATAATCTTTGTCTATGCCCCTTCTTAGATTTCATAATTCATTATCATTGTCAGGCATGTCGCATAAAGGGGCTCTTCAGAAACGATTCGCGATGGGTTTTACCCATGGATTTCATTCTCTTGAATCCTCTGGGGTACTTTGATCACAAGTTGAGTACCTTTTCCTATTAACCGGTAATGCCTTTTGGGAGAGATGATGTCGGAAGGTGTATGTTTTATTTCAACCTTATATTTTTCATTTCATAATTCATTATCATGCATATCGCATAAAGGGCCTCTTCATAAATGATTTGTAGGGGTTTAACCCACGGACTCCGTTCTCCTGAATCCTCTGGAGTACCTCGATCACAAGTCGAATACCTTTCTCTATTAACCAGTAATGCCTCTTGGGAAGTGATGCCAGAAGGCTGTCCGTTTTATGCCTTATCTTTTGTATTTCTAAGACTAATTTATTCCATTTTCATAATTTCTTTAATTCATTTTCTTTAAATTGATTTTATCATATCAAGCCTAATTAAGAAGACACCTGAAAGCTAACCATATAGGAATTTAAAGCAAGCAGAGCAAGGAAAAGAAAAGAGTTGAACTCAGACCAAGTTGCAGAAACTTGGGAGGCTTTCTCCAAAGATCTAAGAGGATTGCTTTTATCCAAACGCGTCCCGCTAATCCAAGTAGTAAGGTAAACCTCTCAAACTTCACTCACCGCATTAAAATTCCCTCATCGTTGATACCTATTTGCACACATTGTGTGTGGTTGTTTTGAGGGAGGGTCTTTTCTGCCGAACCCAAGTCATCGACCCGAGATTCATTCGGACCTAAAGAAAACCCAGGTCCACCAACTTGAAAGATGGCATGAGGTCGATGCCCCAAATTTATGTAGAATGTCCCATTATGTTTGGATGGGAAATGGTCCACCAACTTAAAATGGTTTAATAGGGCTGCTGCCCTATCAAAATAAGTAATGCCTCATAACTCATATCGAAATTCAAGCAATAGAAAATTCATTGAATTGCAATTCAATAACTCAAAATTGCAATTCAAGCATCAAAAAACTTTTACGCCAACCATATTTGCTTGAGCATTATGATTATGAAAAAAAAAAAGATTTCAAGCTCTAAAAATAGTGTGTATTGTAATAAATTTTTTACACCATTCATTTCGCCCTAAAAGTAAGTGTTCATAGACCTAAAAGATTTGTACCATTTTTTAGTTTCGAATTTCATTATCGATGTTGGAAGTTGATTTTAGAGCCATCATGGATATTCCCATTGCTGAAAGTGCTTATCGGATAAGGATTTGAGGTGAGGCTTTATTTTGTTATCATAAGATCCAAGCCTCAGCCTTCAAGTTGTGATATGCAAAGTCTAGGCACCTATATGAAATGAACGACCTATGTTCATCCAAACTATTTTTTTATCTCTTTTTAAAAACATTTAATGATTTCAAGATTTTACAGGCAATATCTAGCCACCCATTAAATAGATAGCCAACGCTAATTGAACCTATCTTTTATATTTATTTTTAGAAACTTCCATTCATTGATTTCTTCTTCAAAATCAAGAGGGTGTATGTGCCAAATTTGAGATACAATATACGTCCCTAAGGCCTCCAAAATGGGGAAGGCGGAACATGGCAACAACTCACTCAAGGGCAGATCATCGCCCATTTAATGTGTGCAGAAATACTTATTTAGGCACTGCTAGTATGCTACAAACACAATGGCCATCCCTAAAGTGCACTTTTTTATTTTATTTTATTTTATTTTTTTGATGTGTTAACAGTGGGAATGGATGGGGACATTATGTCGAGGCATCCGTCCCTCTAACCACCAATGCCCCAATCCTAAAGTCTTATTTTCCATCATGCAAAAGTTTATAATCATATTAGCGTCATACCTTCTATTCCCAATAAAATAAGGGATTGTATATTATAAAACCATTTATTTTTAGTACAAGAAGGTCACAGTCATTTCTAACCATTGGATGTGGAATTCAATAGAATGAAATGTGTCACAACACTCGAAAAATTTTATTTTGGACTTTATGCCCAACTAAATATAGATCCTCAGCCACCTCATTTTGCATCCAACGGTCAATAATGACCATGGCTTCCGTGTATAAAAAATAAATGGTCTCATTGAATATATTTCCATAAAATAAAAGGCCTAAGGATATCAGAAAATTATGTTGTGCTAATAAAAGCATTCAAAGGTAAGAACCATAGGGGTTTCTCCAAATCCCAACTTACAAGCAAGAAAAATGAAAATTACATGGTACAGCTATAATAATACTAGTTGTTGTATATGTGCCCCTCATAGAGACAAGTAACATAAGACAACACCTATTATTTGAAATCAACTAAAATATTTTGATAGCAAGGATGAGGACTTGGGAACAGTCCTTTCCCCCAACCAATGTTGCATATGAACTCCTATAGCATACAGATAGGAGCCACTTCTCCCATGGAAACCCACCACCTTTCCTTCTGTTCTATTGGAAGTGAAGTAGGTGCCTAATTCCTCACCATATGGCCCATACTTGCCTCTACTTGTGCAGAATGTAAGAGACTTTATCACCTCCAATCTGTCATCTCTAGCGACTGCACCATAGTAGCCAGTAATGCATGTGAGCACCTCATTAGGGTACTCAAACTTGATCTGCAGGACCCAAGAGTGTCAATAATGCCAAAAGATTATATGCTCCTACGAGTATATGCTCCCCCAGGTAAAAATATCATCTAGGAGTACTTTTAGGATCTCAAATTTTAGGCATGCTATACATAATATCTTCAAATTGAATGTGGACGATTCAATATTTGGACGGTTAGATCTAAATGCTTCCAAACTCCAAAATCTTGTTTTTTTGGGGAAATATATCGAAATACTCATAAGAGACAAACTATTTAGGATTTTATCAAATTGCAACTCTTCAAACTCATGATCATATGTCTTTTGATGGGTATTTTGAAACTATTTCAAAAGACAGGTAGAAAAGTAGAATGTTAATAGTTCATCTCACACATGTATGTATTTGGGCAAATTATCCTTTTTTTTTAAGTACTTTATGGTTCCCAAAATTTTAAATAAAAAAATGGGCCTAAGCAGGTATTTTACCTGAGGGGTAAGTGTACAGTGTGCTCCCATGGAAGCACAATGTACTCATTCAATCAAAACAAAAATGAAACATAAGAAATATCATATCACAGGAAGTGAAACAAGAGGTGGAGAAGAAGAAGAGATTCAGTTACTCTATGGGTTGTTTCTCCTCCACGGCCTCCATGTCTAGCTGACCAAACAGATTGCCCATTTCTATCGTATTCAATTTGTATGGAGCATACTGCTTCTCCTCTGATCAATACAATTTGCTTGATACCTGAGTATACACCATCATCCCATGGCCTCCCTCCATCCCCACCCCAAGGCCCAGGCCCAAAGGGCACAGCCTCTTTCACAGTTCCCATCACAACCTATAAAAGATATACATGCCCATTAATGCTTTCATATAGAGAATGTCAAACAGTAAACAATTAGAAGATTCATTTTAGATAAATAATGTGAAATAGCATTAAAAAGAAATAACTGTTAATAGGGATAAAGGAAGTGTTAGGATAAAATCCAAAGCAAGTGTTAGCAGAAAGTTCAAATAAGTGCTAACAAGAAGTCTCAATGCACCTCTTCTCCATGGCCACCACTGCTGGGAACTGATTTGGTCGACCAATACGGGTTATTGACCTCAGCTATCTGTGCATCTTCGGGTTTGAATGAATGGGAAGGAGGAAATTGAGGTTTGGAAATGGCCTGTGTTGGAAAAACATGAACACCGATGGCATCTAAATACCAACCGCTTCGTCCATGGAAGCCCACGATCCTGCCTGCTACCGATTGAGACGAGAAGGACATCCCTTGCTGATCACCATAAGGTCCATATTGGCCTTTTGTGGTGTGGAATGTTAAGGATTTGATGACCATTGGTCCCATAAGGAATGCAGCACCATAGTTACCTGTGATGTATGTCAAGATCTCAAATGGATAATCAAACACCACCTGCCAGGAAATTCGAAAGGAAAATGTCATAGGCAACATCAATTTAAAACATAAATCAATGAATAGATACAAATAAAGGACAAAGTCATGCTCAAAGTTGGTCCTTCATATTAGATTGAAAAAAAGTGATTTTGTGTCATTTCAAATACGAACCTTATCTGATTTGAAGCTTCCCGCGGCTCCTCCATGCCTGTTTCCCCACACTGCTTGCCCATTTCTGTCGTACAGAACTTTGATGGACATGATTCCAACATTGCGGCTCAAGTTTATTTGTCGGATGCCAGTATACACGCCATCATCGAAGATGGATCCTCCATTGCCACCCCAAGGGCCATGGGTCACATTGCCTCCACCATTTGAGGTTCCTTTTTCTCCTTTGCTAGAGTCGCTGGAGAAGTTGGCCAGCTGCAACTGAAGCGAAATAATAGAGTCCTTAGTCCTTACTAGTAAGCATGGTTCATAACTTGGCTCATGCCTCGGACTCGGCCCTAGCTCAAGCTGAGTTAGTCAACCGAGTCCTCTATGGGCACAAAACAGGGGCAAAAAACAAAAAAAGGAAAAGAAAAAAAAAGAGGTTAACATTTATCAAAAATAGCAAAAACCAAATAAGTAATAAAAATCATCAAAAGTCTATGAAAGATGAAAATGTGTATGTATGTATGTATCTACATATGTATATGTATATGTATATAGGAAGATGTTAGGGTGAGCTCATGGGCTCATGGAATAGTGGAACCCAACGGCCCCGATTGAATTTGAGTCGATCTGATGGTCAGGACTGTTTATCGATAATATAATTTTAATATTTTTTATATAAATCCAAATATCAGAAAATTGGAGCATAAACTCTTCTCATCAAGACGCACCTAATAAAATTATTAAAAAAATAATTCACATAAAATAAATTACTCAAAATACCCCTATAACTTTTTAGGGGTATTTTAATCAATTTAATTTGTACGAATTATTTTTTTGATATTTTTATGAGATTCGACAATTCTTGAATAATAGAGGCTTCAAATTTCAAGTGATTTGGATTTGTAGAAAAAAAATTAAAATTCAATTACGAAATACAATTGTGAACATTGGATCGGTCCAGATTTAATCTGGGCCGTTGGGCTTACATTGTTCCATGAACCCATGGGCTGACATGAGCTTTTTCCATATATAAATAATTCATAATAATGAAAAGGGAAAAATAAAAAATTAGAACATACAATTAGAAAAGTTAACAATAGTAATAAAAAACATGAAATTCATGTAGAAACATATTTCAAAATTATCTACCAGTATTTGTAACCAAATTCATGATTCTTTCCCCGGTATTTAAGAAGGGTAAGTTGGGGATCAGCAGGGTGCTAAGGCCAAGTCCGAATGGAGTCGGCCGAGTTTTAAAACACTGCTAGTGAGTGAGTGAGACAGGATGTAATACTACCTAGCTAGACTGTACTAGTATGTAAATCTTAAGGTAAACTACATTGAGAGAGAGAAAGCACCTTGTTTTTGGATTCTTCTCGAGCCATAGAAGGTGTCTGTGAGACTTGGCTTGAGCGGTTGAAGGCGTCTTTCTTGTCTCTCACCTTTAATACAAAATCATAATGGCCTTTCGCATCAGTCCCATGAACAATGTCATAGCCATTTTTGGTGGTGGATTGAGCGGGCACAAGAACCTGGGAATAATAATTTGGTAACTCGGACTCGGGCTCAGGATCCGAAAGAGGTTTGAGATGCAGACCAATTGAGTCTAAGTGCCAACCAGAGCGCCCATGAAAACCAACAACCTTACCACCACTCATGGTGAAGGAGAAATGAGTGCCTTGTTGAACGCCAAAGGGCCCATATTTCTTTAAGTTAGTTTGGAAGGTGAGAGATCGTATTATGGTGGGGCACCCACTTGACATCGGACCATAATGACCGCTGAGCCAAGTAAGGACCTCTTCGGGGTACTCGAGCTTTACCTGCAGCATAGGTTTTTATCCGTGTTTAGAAGATCGATTCGGCCAAAGTACTCAGGCTTTGGTTGAGGGGAGTCATTCGGACGAGTTTGAGTAACTCACCCGAGTCCCGTTCACTTTTTTTAAAGAAAACGAACATTGAAAGGTGCACTCACCCAAATTTAACTCAATTTTTTTTTTTTTAAAAAAAATGAACACTGAAACTTGATATATATAATTAGGAATGTTACCGGATTCATGTCTGCTCTTTCTTTTGGACAGAAAAAGGGGAGCACTTCTCTTTTTCTTTTTTTTGGGTGAGCGAGTGGGGAGAGAGCCCCTATATTTGGTAGGAATTGAGTATTTCTCTTTTTCTTTTTCTTTTTTTGGGTAAGCCAGTGGGGAGAGGGCCCCAACCCTTGATAGGAATTGAGCCTAGGATGTAGCGTTGCATATCATTAAGTGCTAGCCAATTAAGCTTCGGCTCTTTTCCTAAAATGGTAAGTGCAGATTTGGGCCCCTAGCCTTTCGTGAGAACACTTCTCTTCATCACTAGATGAAAATCTTAAAGTGTACTTTAAGGCGAGAAAAACAAAAAGAACACTCGTTTCATTCGGGCTGGACCACATTTCTACAATATGTGACCCAGAGGTATAAATCATCCATCTTAAAGATGGATGCAAATAGGTGGTCCATCTAAAAACAATTGTAACTAACGGTCCAAATGTTTTCTTAATATAATTATTCTAATGATTTTCTTTTTGTCATATTCATGATCTCCATGTTAAAGATTATATGTTCTCTAAAATTAAGATCAAATTATATTTTTTAAAAAAATTTATTTCCAAGCCCGCATTTGCAATATGCGGGCTGGCCGCATGCTAACCGCGTCCAAAACAAAATGTATTTGGCACTTTTGTGGAACGTTTTATATAAAACGTTTCTTATAAAATTATGAATATTATCAGTTATATCTTTCGAAATTTTGTATATTTTATGGAAGCTTTTATCCATAAAATGGGTAGTTATAAAAATGTTTTTCGTATATTCATTTTGTTGGGGGAACTGATTCACATTATTTCGGCTTAGAGCTTGCGGCCGAACACTTACTACTGCTGTCTCAAGGGAACTTATTTCATTACATTGGTTTGGATATGGAGTTGGGTTTGGACCTTCCTATCCCAATTTGGGCCGAGTCTCGGGCCTTGTGGGTCAGGCCTTGGCTAGGATGCCCAGCAGGATTTGTGATGAGCCAAGCTCAAGCCTAGCAGGTTTGGCATGTCTAGCCTACGACTGAGAATGGGTTGGTCCGTATCTGGATGCGGATTTGAAAAGTATACATCGGATTTGGATTTGGATCCAGATCTGATTGGATCCAAAATATTTGGATCCAGATCTGGATCCTAAAATTAAACATAAGATTTAGATCCGGATCCAGATCCTAGATCCTAAAATTAAATATAAGATCCTAAATCGGATCTACTTGTACCCCAATCCTATCCAAATTTAGATCCGATCAGATCCAAGTTAAAACGGTTGAATTGACCGGTTTACCGGTTAGGCCGGTTAAACTGCTTTTGGCCCCATATCAGGTTAATCATTCCAGTTTGATTTTACGAATATGATCAAGCTAAGTAAGATGACTGGCCAAGAAAGGTGTTTTGTTGGACTCCATGGTTGTTTTTGATTCTTTGTTTTGACTGCTTATTTTTAATATTTGTGTGATTTAATAAAATTTTATAACTCAAAAAAAAAACTAGGCTCGGGCTAGCAATTAACTACTCCAACCAGATTTGGGCTGTACAAGATTACCCGATTGGTAATCAAACTGGGTTGGGTCAGCCCCATTAAGTGACCATATTCGGCCAGCAATGGTTAGCCTTATAGGAAAAGAGCTTGGGTTAATTAGTTAGTACTTAATGATTTGCAACACTACGTCCTATGTTCAATTTCTATCAAAGGTAAAGCCCTCTCCGCACTGACTCACCCAATCATTTTTAGCTCGTTCAATATTATTTTTCTAGCTCTTTGATTTTGTATCTAACCATTTCAAAAATTTTAAGTTTTTTTAAAAACTAAATACCAATATAAAACTTCCTATTTTTGGCAGTAATAATTAGCACCTAAAATCCCTTTGTTAATTTTTATTTTTTCTTGCTCCTATTTCTTCTCCATATTAGATATTTCAATTAAAATATGAACAAAATATAAAATAAATTTTAAAGATGGGATGAATATGATTTTTTGTTTTCTTTTTAGGTACCTCCATCAATAATTTCCTCATGGATCAAAGAAGTTCTACGTTTATAGACCTCTGGATTGAGAGTTTAACGAGAGAAATGCTATTAAAGAAAGGAAAAGGTTTATACAAGGTTGCAACTTTAAAATGTAGAATTACACATGCACCACAAATGTCTATCGGAAAATGTTGTTTTAATGTTGAAAAACCCTCTAATTGATCATCTCAACATCGAGATATATAAATACGAAAAAAAAAAAAAAAGATTTCGAGTCCTAGAAATAATTCATCTTGCAACACATTATCTAGACCGTCCATTTTCAGGATTTTCATATATTTAGAGCTTTACTTATTTTAACTATATTTGGAGTTTAAAATTTTATAATTAGATATGAAAATAGATTTTTAGATAATCCTAGGAATTTTTTACAAGAAAATTACATGTTATGATAAAATTTATAGGTGCGCCTTAATTGGATTGTTTAAGGTTGCAACCTTAGAGAAACCGCATCCATTAAAGAAAATTCTCTCTCTCTTTATATTTTTATTTTTAATACATAATACTCATTATTAAAAACAACATAATGCCCCTAAAAATCTTAGAGGTATTTTGGTCATTTTCTCATAAAAATGTTTCTATTTTTAGTTCTATTCGGTGTGCTCCAATCAGAGGTGTGTACATCCCGAATTATATTGCAAAATGGTTTATTAGAAAAAATAAAAAAGAAAAAATATTCTGAGTTGTTTGAACAAGTTCAAACTTTAAAAACTAATTCATTTCAACCGTCCATTGGGTGGCTGGGGACAAGGATTAAAACATGGGTGGTGACATATGGAAAGGTTTCCTATTTATTTACATCAAATAATCAATTAAAATAAAAAATTAAAGGCTTTTTATGGTGTTCCAAATATCAACTTGTTTTTCCTAAAGGTTCAAGAAAACAAAAAAATTTATCGTGTAGAGAGCATCAATATTTATTTGCAATTTTTATAAAACCCAAAAAGATATATACTACAATATCTTTGTCCTAAGATATGAACCTTTTAAAAGACAGACTTTTTGTTAATCATTTTCAAAATATTTGGGTAAAAGTGTACAATCATACTTGATAATCCCCGTAAATCTTTAAAAGGAGAGTATGCTACTTTAGCTTCTTCTTCTTCTTTCTTTTTTTTTTTTTTAATTTTAATTTTTTTTTTATTGTTTTTTTATTTAACACTTCCCCAACCATTCCATATCAATAAATAACAGTTGGTAGGTGTAATTCACGTATAATATAAGTTGTTAATTTCTACTGAGTTAGTCAAACATTTTGCAGACTTTCAGCTTGAGGAACAACATGCTAAGCAGGGGAGGTGTTAGCAAATATTTTGAAGCCAGATACTAGCCTAGTATACAACCCATTTAGAATATAATTTTCTTTTATTTGTTTTGTGTAGAGAATTAGGAGAACTCCGATAAAAAAAGGCATCACATTTAAAACAAAACTTTTATGAGTGTAAAAATAAGGTTGCAATATTCTACACAAATCTTATTTTTTGAAAGAGATCAAAATTTGACACTATTTTTTAAGACATACTAAATTTATATTGTCAGATTAAAATGGATAATATAGAACATCGCAACTTTTTTCCTAAAATTAAAATTCCTAACCTTATGTAATTTTGAACCATACAAATAGTACGAAATCATAAACAAAGGCATGACAAGATGGACATCTACAGTGGTTATACCTTCTATTGTCAAAATACGTACCTTGTCAGTTTTGCATCCACCATTGCCACCATGTTTCTCAGACCAAACAGATTGTCCCTTCTTATCATACTCGAATCGGAGAGAATCAATGGCTCCTCCATGAACAATTACTATTTGCTTGACCCCTGTATGAACCCCATCATCCCATGGACTTCCACCCTGGCCACCCCATGGCCCAACACTAACAGCTTTCTTTGACCCAACTTCTAAGTTCTGCTGCAAGTCACAACGACACAAGTTATACTAAAGTGTTGCTTGTTTCCATTGAACCTTAATTTCTGGTTTTTCTCTTTTTTTCATTGTTTAGACTAAGGCCAAAGCCCGTTCCGACCTTAGGTTTTATAAACCTGGCTTTATAAAACTCAAGCTACTTTTGGGCAAATGGTGTTTGGCACTTTTTCTTCCAATCAAAACCCAGGTCCCCAAAATTAGATTTTTTCGAAACCTGGGTTTTGGATGAAACTTAGTTTTGTTATCACTGCAAAGCCAAGTACCCCTAAGTTTCTCTTTGGCCTACCATTGCTCGGGCTGCTTCGTTGCAGAGTATGATCCTTAGAAGGCTGCCTTCTGAGTGAGGATGGGAATTTGGATTAAGATCAATTTATAGAGGGAAGCAAGAGAGAGAGAGAGATGAACGATGTAGTGAAATGAAAGGTTATTCGTATGCAATAATGGAGAAGATAAAAGGGAATTGGATTCTTAAAGGTAGATACCATGTGCAGTAGATGCTTCTATGCCACGTATTTTTAATGTTCTTGCAACGATCTAGAGGGTTGTTTTTGGATTTCCTGTCCGGACACCGCAGGATTAGAGGCATCAGAGTTCCCTTCTACCAAGCCCTACCATACCCTATCCTGTCGATAACATCTCGAGTTCGAGTAGAGAACGTTGTGCTGCTTTCTTTTCCTGTCCTGTCTTGATCCAATGCCATCCCAATTTTCAATATCAGAGTGTTTTGAAACTCAAAATCCAATGATTATTTCTTTAAATATTCATTTTTATATGTATTAAAAGTGTAGCAAGTCCTCCATCGTTCATTCCGAGAGGAATCTTGGGTTTTATGTAAAGATGTGGAAGTCGGGGGCTGATACTTCAACATAACGTACCACCTTCCATTCTCACCGTTAACATATAATTAAAAAAAAAGAGAAAGAAAAAGAAAAAATACAGATGTGTGGATGCTGTGTCGCCATCCCACAAGAGACTCAAATTCTAGTAGAGAGGATTAAGAGTTTTGATGCGAAGCAGAGAATTGTGAGTTCTGATTCTGTGCCTTTTGACCAACACTCTACTTTGTTTCCAACAGGGAGACAAAGAGCATTTGGATCTGCCATCCAATTTCGTTCAATTTTGGCCTTTTTAGACTTTTAACAAAAAAAATCCATGCTCATGCGAGAGCACATCTTTGATTTACTGTCGGGTAATAGTTTGCTTAGGGGTATTTATATGACCCCAAAATTTGGGGAGGCAGTTTTGTTAACCCAGTGATTAATATCCGTACACCCGTTATATGTGCGTGAAAAAATAAAATAAAAAATCATATGGTTATTCAAAGACTGCTCAATTTTTGGATGGTTTAATCTAAGCATTTAAGAGCTTAAAATCTATACTCATTTTGTTATTCTGAAAAAGACTCTAAAATTTTAGATTGAGAAAATCCTCCTGAGTAGGTATTTTGCTTAAGAGAGTATATATTAATTTGCTCCTCATGGATGTGCACTATGCCGGTTATATTTAAGGGACAAAAAAAAGAGAACTTTTACATGCCTATTATTTAGTTTTTGCATTACTAAAAAAAATTCATTCTAAATTTTATAATAATTTACAACATACTTTCTTGAGTTCCATTTTGATCATAGGTAGAAAATCCCATCCTTGGTGAACCACCCAAAGAAGTGTTTATACGCAAATTTTTCAATTTTGAGAAAAAAATGTTTACTTTTTTTTCCAAAATTGTAATCACAGATAACCCCCTCAGTATGTGAAAAACCATTGAACCTCCTCCAAGTTAAAACAAAAAGACATTTTATTCCTTCCACACCTTTTCTCTGTAGTCTAAATTACAATATTCTACCCATTTTTATTTTTTCTGATGACGCCTTCATCAAAATACTAAAAAAACACCCACTTTCTTTCTCTCTTTCCTGACGAACTTCTCTCTCTCTCTTTTTCAACCTCTCTTGAATCCTTAAATTTTTTGCTAATTTCATGAGCCTCACAAGTAGGTCAAGATGCATCTTAGGTTCAATTTATACGCTGGGATTATTAGAGAAAAAAAGGTAAGTGTTGTAATTTAGACAATAAAACAAAAGTTTGGAGGAGGTTAAAGTGATAAACATCATTTTCTTTTAACTTGGAGGGGTCTATGGGTATTCTATCGACTAAATAGGTATTTGGGATTATGATTTTAAAGATGAAAGTATACGTTTTTTTTTTTATTCTTTTTTTTTTGTTTCAAAACTATCATTATTTTTCACTTTGAAAGTACAAAAATTTACAAAATATAGTATTTTTCACTTTGAAAGTACAAAATTTTACAAAAAAAAAAAAAAAAGGGTATTGGATGGGACCTTAACGGAATTATTTTAAAAAAGTACCTAGTATTTTGGAAATCGAAAGCATAAAATTTTACTTCTTTTAATTTTCCTCTCTCTCTCTCAGTATATACACTTTGTCTTTCAAGCTTCATCACCTTTTTCTCTTTTTTTTTATTACTTTTATTTTTTTCTGGTTATTGTCACCAATAAGTTCGTAGGCAATGTGCTCAATTTCTGGGTAGACTCACAAAGGCGCCTTTTATGTGTTTTCTGAACGGTAATTACTTCGGTCATTATTTTTTCACTTGATATTATTTCCAACCAAAGGTTACATCACTTCAAAATAATAAAGATTCAGATACTCATAAGTTCATAAAAACGGCCTCTTGGCTAATCTATCTCCAACATCATTAGCTATATATAGCGAATAGGCTCCTGTAAATATATTTAGCCAATCCATCGGCAATATCATTATCCTCTCTATAAATATATTTGCAATATCTCCAACTGATGATATCCATAACCGATTCCAAATTGATCCGAGTCTCTAGGGTGGTCTTTGATTATTATTTTTGACTATATATATATATATATATATATATATATATTTGTTAATTTAATGGGCCATAAGCTTTACCTATTTTTATAATTAATTAGTGGTTTACTTGCACCTGAGGCATGGGGTGTGCTACCACCATGACCTCAACCTTGTGTTGTGGATGCGCAGTCGCTAGTGCAATATTATTGATTTTTTTGTAACGATTTGACTAAGCCGAACAGATGGGTGGGATTGCATCTTTACGCTAACATTTTGGTACCCAACGGATAATCTTGACTTGAACTGATTTGATGGCACGTTGGGACCAGATTGTAACTTTGGTCTTGCAGCCAAAATACATGATGATTACACTTGAGTTGATCATTTCATCGACAGTAAATTTAAGATGTCTAAAGCTCAATTATTATTTTTTTTTTAAAATTGATTTTTTAAAGTGAATAAAGGCGGTTATGGAAAATTTCATGAAATCTTAGCTTGGTTTTTGAATATTTTGATCACTAGACAATTGCCCACATTGGCTTGGTGTAACTTCTGATTGATTTTTTCTATTAAGTTAGCATATTATTTTCGATTTTAAGATAGAGTCGGTATGGGATTTCTTGAATTTGGATATGAAGGCATGTTTAGGTAGTTACATAAGGAGGTGAAAATATTTTTGTAAAAAATATATTTCTACAAACGAAATATGCCTTAAGTTCAAAAAAGTATATACTTCAAAGCAACAATTTTACTTGTAGAAGACCCACAACATATGGATGGTGCAAATTTAACACATCTAAAAATATAGTATATTTTTTAAAATCAATATCAAAATCGTTATAAAAAAAAACAACATATGTTATTGTCACCTTAATTTGAGTTACCACAATATAAAATTCTTCCAAAGATAAACACTAGTTGAATCGGTCAATTTTAAATAGAAAATATATATAAATAAAATTTTACGTTGACAGCTTACCTAACGCAACCCGCCTCTTTTATAAGAACTCGAAATCGCAATCAATTAAAATGACAATGGAAAAAGAAATGACAAGAGTTAAATGACCATGTATTGATGGTTGGACACTTCCCAAAGTGAAAAAGCAACTGTGTTTTCCTGTGACCATGCTTTGGAGACGCTCCTAAATCTTCCCATCACATAGGAATAGGACCAAATCCTCTTGTCTTTTCTACTTAATTTCATTCAATTCAATAGACTCAATATCCATTTTAAACGTAAATGTGACTCCACAAATATATTAGAGAAAATAAAAGGAAATATTGTGCTTATCGTCGTCGACGTTGCAGCAAGCAATAGGCCCAGTGCCAATACTACGGGAGCAGGGTTAGAGAAAGTCGAGCCGTTCATGCACAGATGATGTGTTCCATTTGCACCATTTTGTTCTTTTTGGCGTTTTTTTCTCTCTCCCACCAACAAGATCCCATTTTTTCAGATCCCCAACTTCAAAACCAGGAGACTCAACTTCTGCACCATGGCCGTACTTATGGCATTGTAGAGGATCAAAACCAGGAGACTCCACTTCTTTATCTCCCTAATCAACGTGATCAGAGCCAGAATGAGCTCGACATTTTTGAGTCATGGTGCAGGCGCCATGGCCGTACTTATGGCACGGTAGAGGAGAAGGAGCAAAGATTCAGAGTGTTCTCAGATAACTTGGTCTTTATAAGGGAGCATAACCAGAGAGCTAACTCTAATTATACAGTTGGTCTCAATGCTTTTGCTGATCTCACTCACCATGAATTCAAGATCAAGCGCTTGGGTCTTTGTCCTTCTATTCTTCGCTTTTCGAGCTCCAATTTTCGCAGTGATCAGAAAAAAATTGATGTTCCTTCTTCTCTTGATTGGAGAGACAAAGGGGCAGTCACGAATGTTAAAGACCAAGGGAGTTGTGGTATCTCTCCTGTTGCCCTTAATTTGCGGATTTCCTTTATTTTGATCTATGTGATTTTGAAGTTCATTTCATCTGCTTTGGATTGTAGAGACATGGACTTCATCTGCTTTGGATTGTATATATATGCTTTTGTTCGGATTGTAGAGATATGTTGTTGTTGGGAATATTTATTTGCTCAGCTCATGAGTGTTCTGAGTAATTGGCTTGACTGTGATTTTAATTAGAAAGTTTTCTTCATTTTCTTTGGATCCTTTGTAATTTCTATACTGTTTGTTGAATTCACTTATCCAAAGCCTGTATTACGAAGTTCAGTTCATGTATCTGTTGAGATTAAAATACTCAACTCCTTGGTGCATTTATTTCAGTACCAAAAAAAAAATCATGTGAAATGATATCTTCACTGCCTTTTTGTAGTGAATATCTTCTCTGTTCATTTGGCGTTAGAAAGCGATCATTAGTTTTATACATATCATCAAGGTTTTAAAGCTCGTCTTGGCCAAGGTAGTCGGTCCTTGGCCGAGTGAGTAACTCAGTTGTAACTTAGCCAGGTCGAGTGGACTTAGCCAAGTTATGTACACCCTCAAAAATGTTTAAAAATCAAAAGCAAAAGCAAAAGATAGTAAAATATAGTTAAAGAAAGAGAAAAATTAATAGAGATAATAGAACTCATTAGAAGATCATAGAAGATGAAAAAAATTCTATAAAAGATCGATTACTGAAAATTTTGATTTATACCTTGAATATTTCAAAAAAATTAGAAAAGGAAAAATATGAAGTCATTTTAAAAACTGTCGAAATCATCTAAAAACATATTTTTAAATAATATATCGATATTTTCCGCATTTCTTTATTTTTAACAATTTGTTTTAGCTATTTTTTGGTGCCCAGTGAGTTGGGCAGCCCAACATGCCTCCAACTCGCTTCACCAATATGGGGACTCGGCCGAGTTTAAGAACAATGCATACCATCGTCATTTAACAATTGAATGATGGTGTGAAATTGTCTATTAAACTGAAGTTGAACATCATGGGCTCTATTGCTGCGATGAAATTCTGACAGTGCCTAGTTGTATGTTCTACTCGATGAAACTGGTAATTGTATGTTCAACTCCATGGAAATTGGATGACATTCCAGCCTTACCAAAAGCTTCACCATGCTATATCTTGTTGGAACATAGGTAACGCAGAAAGCACAAGGGAAAGATACCGAAAAATTGATCAAAAATTATTTATGTGAGAATAAAATGAGAAAGCTCGGACTCGATAAGATGGGTATATAAACTACGTTGGTTTCCTGATGTTGAAGCTATGCAGGTGTGGAAGTTCTTTTTTTTTCCAGCTCTTCAAACTTTTGGTTTAACACAGCAGCTGTGATATACATTCATTCTAGCTCTTTCTAAATTAACTGTAAAGTGTTCCATTTGATTCTTGCAGTATCAGCTTTTATGGTGGATCTGTTATTGTTCCCTTAAATGCTCAAGGAAGTCATTTGTTGTTTCACATTGAACTAGTTTGAGTTTATGTTTTTTTTCTCTAAGTTTAATAGAATAATACAGAAGTAGCCATTTCTGTAAGAAGGCTTATGTGTTTTCATAATCCTTTTGAATTTCATGTGCGCAGTAACTTACTAAGATGGGATAATATACAAATCTCCATTTCATTTTTTCTTTTGAATTTTAGCAAAATCTTATTAATTAAAAAATGTGTTTACTTTTATATTTCTTATCCAAAAACAACTGCAGACATACAAGATTCTGGCAGTGTAACGAGTCAAGATAAACTCTCTAACACTTGTATCTAACAAGTTAGTCCTCAAAAAGTGATTATCACTAGAGGGGTTTTGGAGTTTCCATCCTGTGCAGGGTATTTTTTTTTTTTTATATATATAATAGAGGGAGTTAACGAGCTCATTGGACTCCTTCCAAATTTGGCCAAACTCATCCTGCTCATGGCACTAGACGGTAAAAAATCTCTTCATACACATTTTGGAGCTTCGAAGGGCAAAGTTCTTTATCACTTTTCCAGGTTATTACCTTAGTGAAATCCCATTAGTGGTCAAGTTCTTCCAACTGGAATGTAGATGTCTGAGGCCGGATAGCAGTGCCTAGGCCTCTGTTCATTTAAGGCACACTCTTGTAGAGGACGTTAGCAACTAATTAATAGTTTTCCTTGGTGGTCTTTTACTAGTTCTCTGCCAAAAGCAGGTCTCTGATGCCTAACAACAGCAACCGGGCCTCTGCTGAATAGCATCTATTGCACTTTTTTCTATGATGTCAAAAGTTTGATGGCTTGATGATTACTAAACCATGGGTGCATTAGCAACCCCCACTTCTTGGTCCTTATAAACGGCTCCCACAAAGGCTTCTCTCCCTCTTCTAGGGGACTTCATCGAGGCGACCCCCTCTCTCCCTTCCTATTCTCCATAGCAGCCGAAGTCTTCTCCCATTCAATCCGACGGCTTTTTGACTTTGGTATGCTGAATGGGTTCAAAATTCCTAACCATGGCCCTATTATATCTCACTTTCAGTGCGCAGATGACACCCTGCAATGCTGTCCCCCAAGAAGTGGATACCCTTATCTTATTCCTCAAGTATTTCAAATGGACTGCAGGCTTCAAAGTCAACCTAAACAAAACCAAGATGAATGTGGTTGCTTTAGACCCCCCATCCACCTACGACCTTGCTAGCCGAATGGGTTGCCTGGCTGAAAGTCCTCCTCAACCTACCTCGGCCTTCCTCTTTGTTTAGGGAAGCCAAAATACAGCTTGTGGGCTCACTTAATCAACTATTTTGATCTTGAATTTGCATCCTGGAAGGGACGCTATCTTTCCTCAGTAGGAAGGGTAACCCTTATTAAGGCCACTTCTATTCAATGTGCCAATATATTAAATGCCCATATTTCAAATGCTGGCCTCAATTAGATCTCAGCTTGAGCAAGTCATAAGAAATTTCCTTTGGGCTGGCGATGCAAACAGCCATAAGTGTCCCAATTGATAGCTTGGGATGAAGTTTGCTTACCCCATGACTAAGGGGAACTTGGAGTTCGGGGGCGCAAGAATTCCAACACTGTCCTCCTGGTTAAGTGGTGGTGGTGGTTTCCCACCTAAGAGAACCATCTTTGGCAACAAGTGACTTCACATAAGTATAACATAGACCAATGTTCTTGGTCGCCCGAAGATCAGGCTTATGGGAGATCATCAGATATTTGGAGGTCGCTCCTTAGTATCTTACATCACTTCAAAAGTTACATATGGTCCTACCCGAGAACTGGAAATCGAGTGAAATTCTAGCTCGATCTTTGGGTAGGGCAGAACTCTCTTAAGGATGAGTTTCCCCCGTTCTTCCTTCTGGCTCATGACCGCCAAGCCACAGATCCAGGGTCACTCAAGGACTTGGAGCCCAAATTACAGACGACCTCCCTAGGAATTTGATTTACCAGAATTCTTTGATCTCTTTTCTCTCCTTCACTCGACTTTCGTTCCTCTCGGTGGAGTAGACCATCTCATTTGGACTCCAGCCCCATCCGGGAGATTTTCAGTTTCTTCCTTCTATAGAAAGCTTACTGAACTCCCCACTTATCCACATGCCCCTGCTCCCATAGTTGCTAAGGGGTGGTCCTTTCTCGCCCCCCCCCCCCAAAGATAAAGGTCTATACTTGGATTGCACTAGCCGAAAGAGTTCTTATGATGGACCAATTACAAAGAAGGGCCTTGCCAATACCAAATTGATGTGTAACGTATTTAGCTGTAGAAGAAACAAATGCTCGTCTCTTCCTTCACTGCCCTGTCGCGCAAAACCTGTGGGGTGCTCTGCTCCAATTATTCAATTGGCAGTGGGTCACTCCTTCAGTTCTCCACCTATTCTCCTCTCTTCACCCGTTCCCATGGGCCAAATCAGGCATCTTTCTTTGGAAGGCGGCTGTGGCCGCCTCACTCTGGGTATTGTGGATTGAGCATAACTCAAGGATCTTCCGAGGGGAATTCTCCTCCGCTCCTGCCCTTTTTGAAAAACTCAAAGTGAAGGTTATCTTCTGGACCTCCAACCATCCCCTATTCCAAGGTTTCCCCTCCTTGGTCTTCCATCAAGACTGGCAGGCCTCTCTTTGGATTCCCCCCGAGCGTGGCTCAGTCAAACTCAATTTTGACGGCTGTTCTCTCGGTACCCAGGGCCAACTGTTATAGGCCTTTTCTGTAACCACAAAGGAGCTACCTTAGCCACTTTCTCCAAACATGTTGGCAACTCTGACTCTCAAACAGCAGAGGCTTTAGCCCTCCTAGAAGGCCTCAAACTCTTCAATAACGAAACCAAAGTTTGATAGTTAAAGGCGACTCTTGCAATGCCATATCCTGGGCATCAGGCTTCTCTGAATGCCCCTGGTACTTGCTACAAATTTTTGACGAGATTTCTGATATATCCACGGGCCTTCAACTTTCCTGGAACCATGTGTCGAGAGAGAGTAACTCACATGCTGATTCTCTAGCCAAAGAAGGGGCACTCAATGCCACAGTTTGAGTGTATGTTTCTTAGTCACCTCCCCTCGCCCCTCCTTGCCCACCCCATCCTGTGTCCTTCCCCACTAGTTGATTTTGTTCACTGGCCATTGTAATTGAAGGGCCTTATTTTTGTACAAAGCTTCCTTCCCAGGAAGCAATTTTTTTATAATTTCCACATAGTAATTCAATCCCGTTAACTTTCTTAAAAAGATGATGAAAAATTTATGCTATTCTGTAGTCGTGCTTTGATTCGAGTTTTTGTTAGAATTATTCTAGTTCATTGATCTTGAATTCATTGGATCATATCAGCTAGGGCATATAAATTAGGCAAGATCACTTAAAAGAACAAATGTTGCCACATTTGCTTGAGAAATTAATTTTTCTTGGTTGAAAAATGTGGTCATGTTGTTGGTTTTCTTTCTGTTAACTAAATGTTTGACTATAACATCACTCTTGCATTTTCCTATCTACCACTTCTAATTTCATGTTCCATTCAGTTCTTAATTATAAAGTAGAACCACTTTCATTTCCTCTTCTTTTAGGAGCTTGTTGGGCTTTCTCGGCCACTGGTGCTATTGAAGGCATAAACAAAATTGTCACGGGATCTCTCATAAGTCTTTCAGAACAAGAGATCATTGACTGTGACACTACTTACAACAGTGGTTGTGGGGGAGGGCTGATGGACTATGCATTCAAGTGGGTCACAAAGAATCATGGGATTGATACTGAGAAGGATTATCCATATCGAGAAGTCCAAGGATCCTGTATTAAAGACAAGGTACATCACATATATATTTATCATCCTTGAAGAAGCATATATGCGCAAGATTTAGCTTTATCCAACATTCCAGTCTTTCCTTTGCAAAATGCAAGTTGCTAATGTAATAAACATATGGCCAGTAATACTGGTAACTGATTTGTTTTTGCTTATCAATAAAAATAGAAATAGATTTATGTTCACATCTAGGGGTACTGGGTTTATCACTATCCAATGGCACGATGGAAGTGAGACCACCATTGGGTCATTTCCAGCTCAGGTGGGACCTTCTCTTCTCCATTATCATCCATCATTTCAATGCATGATGATGACCTCAGGTCCCAGTGGACAATTGTTATAACATAGCCCGCAGGTATAAGTGTACTTTTCTTTTCGTTTCTTTTCTTGTCTTTTTTCTTTTCTTCTATAAGCACTATTCCGCCTCATTAATTAGTCATATATGAGACACCTTGTCTCATTTCATAATAATTAGATATCTGTATTCATGAAATCCTTAATCGGCAAAAGAAACCATTCCTCTTGCTAAGATCACACTTGTTCTATTTTAGGCAGAGCGTCATGTTGTGACAATTGATGGACATACAGATATTCCTTCAAATAGTGAGGACTTAATTCTCCAGGCAGTTGCAAAACAGCCAGTGAGTGTTGGGATCTGTGGTAGCGAACGTTCGTTCCAACTCTACTCATCTGTGAGTCTTATTTCACCAAACCAATTTAATTCTCAATAAGAAACCAAACAAAATAATCCTATTATTTAACTTTCTCAATTGGGTTTCACTACAGGGGATCTTTAGTGGACCATGTTCGACTTCCTTGGACCATGCTGTACTTATTGTGGGGTATGGCTCAAAAAATGGTGTTGATTATTGGATTGTGAAGAATTCATGGGGAACAAGTTGGGGGATGGATGGCTATATGCACATGCTTCGAAATAGTGGTGACTCACAAGGAGTTTGCGGTATAAACATGATGCCTTCTTATCCAACGAAGAGTGGTGCTAATCCACCTCCATCACCACCTCCGGGTCCAGTTAAGTGCAGCCTTTTGACTTATTGCCCATCAGGAAACACTTGTTGTTGCACATGGAGATTTTTGGGGATTTGCTTGTCATGGAGCTGTTGTGATCTTGATAACGCTGTTTGTTGTAAGGATGGTCAATACTGTTGCCCTCAAGACTACCCAGTTTGCAACACAGCCACTGGTTATTGCCTCAAGGTTTGACTATTTCTCTTTCTGGTTGAACAACTTTTTTTTTTTTTTTGCTGAGTTAAAGTGGAGTGTATTTATTCTTCAAACCCACAGAGAAACAGATTGTTCTAAATTTAACTGTAATGTTTTCTTAAGAGAACTGAAAAAATGTATAAGGGACCAATTGTACAAAGTTGTAGCAAAATATGAAATTTTATTTGATCCTGATGCCCAAAATGAAGGCATTTTCTGCGACACAGAGATTGCACCATCAAAACCTGCTTACCATCAATACTAAAAGAAAAAGAAGAGGAAGAAGAAATAAAATACCAGGAATTTTGAGGTTGGAATTTTCATTTTCGTTGGGAGATCAATATGTTTCCGTTACGTTTCCATTATGATTTCAAATTAAAGCATTGGTTTTTCTTTAAAAGGTTTCTATTTTTCTTGACTTGTTAGTCTTTCCTGTTCTGATGTTTATTTTCTCCGAGATGTTTATGCATTGCCTCTCACTTTGTTTCTGATAAATTTGGATTTGGCCCCTCATGCTTCACTATTGGGCTTACATTTGTGAGTTGCTGACTGTAGGGAAGTGGGAATTGGACAGAGATGGATGGGTTGAAAAGGAGACAGTCATTTGGTGGATTCAGACCATGGGAAGCCATATAGGAAATAGCGATGGATGTAACATATTGTGTATGTTTTTGTTCGGTATGTTGCTGTTCTTGAGTGAAATATTTATCTTAAAAGCTGATGATAATTAATATTTATATAATTAGAGTTGCATTTATAAGGAAAATCTAGTATTAATTTATTTTATTGCTATATACTCGCTGATGATGTGCTTTTTACAACCCTCTTGCTGAGAAATTGAATGAAGAATTGTTTAATTTAAATAAAAATAGTATACTAGTTTTACTTTGTTATTTAATTGTCGGCTAATATTTAATTGGGAAATTACTTTGTTATTTAATTGTGGGCTAATATTTAATTGGGAAATTTATCAAATTACCTTTGAGAGATTAGCAATTTGACACTTTACTCATATCCTTTTCTTTAATTTCAAAATTCCAATTTGGCACTTTACTCGTATCTTTTCCTTTAATTTCAAAATTCCCATAAAAAATGAATCGAGCTTGGGTCAAGACGGTAACGGCTGGGTTTTGATAGCACAACGTCGCGAGTTGCATTCTCATATAACCTTGTCAAAAAAGAAAAAAACACTTGGTGTTGAGTTGGAATAGTTCCAAAAGGGTAAATAGTTAATTAGTTCATCTGTTATAAGTATTTTGATTAATTTACCTATTTAATTTTACCATTGTATTTGTTTAATATTCCATTTAATTGCAATTTAATTTGTCATATTAAAATTTATATTTATATTCTAACTGTTTTCGTACTTCTGTGGTATATTGAGATTGGTATCTTGTTGTTTTGATGTATTTTTATTTTGGTAGAAATTGCAGTTCCTATTTTTATCGTAAGTTCTATTTCCATTTTGGGTCATAATTCCTATTCAAGGTAAGAGATATTAAGAATTCTTATTTTAACTTGAATGGAACTATGAACTTCCTTTTTTGATGCAATTTTCTGCCCTTATTTTTTGTGGAAATTTTGGGAAAAAGGATTTATGAAAGAATTTAAATTTGCACACCTACTTTATCTTCCTCATTAGTATCGATATGTTTGTACAGTACCTTTAACACTCATTGTGCCTCAACTTTCTATGCGTTATAATGCACATGGTGTTATTCACGGGATCTATCAAACCTCAAATCAAACAAATTTTAAATTACCATATGTGAAACATAAGATTGTTTATGCTTCATGTTAATACACCCTTTAACCTCATGAGGTCTTTCTTCCCTGCTGCGCATTCGGAGCACTGTTTTCACCACCCGCTCCGATGCAAAAGGCGCTAGAAACACTGTGTTGTCCGCCAAAACAGTGATAATTAAATGGCAAAAATAATCTAGTTTTAAGCGCTTCCCAAATGCAGCCTCACAATTATTTTTATTTTACAATATAATGCAAGCACATAGAAAAAAAGATAAATATATTAAATATAGGGTGCAGTTTGTACATCCAAGGCTCTAAACAATCAAATTAGAGCCCACTTTCAAATAGTGTCGTGAAATATAATTTTAATTCTGAAAAGTTTTGTGATAGCCTTAAATTATATTTTTATCTTTAATTATAAAATTTAAAGCTTCAAAAGCATTGTAGATATAGCAGATGTATGAAAACTTGGAAATTGATGGTCCAAAAATGCATTATAAGATGCACTATTTCCAAAACTTGTAATCCATTTTTTTTTCTCATGTCCTTGCGATCTTGATATGGAGATGATCAATTTGATGTTATTTGAGCATCAAAACAACTTCTTCTAGTGGAATTTTTGAGGTAGGCTCTAATTCGATTGTTTAGATCATAGGCTTTATATAAACTTTTCCCATAAATATATTGTCCACTATAAGACCATTTATCTTTCTTACAAAGAGTTCAGAATCGCTCGTAGTCATTAGATGTCAAATTGGATGGCTTGAGATATGTCACAAAGTTTCAGAATTCTTTTTTTTAACTTTGAATTGCCAATAACATATTTACAACCATCCAATTTGAATTGCCAATGACATATTTACAACCATCGAAAGTCTATTTGCATACTTTTCAATACATCAAAACATCCCAAATACCAAAAATATCATGTTCATTCTTGTTTATGCAAAGGGCATATGCATGGCCAGCTGGATTATGGTCTGGAAAGGAAAAGCTGCGCAAAACATCTGCAATCTTCATCATTGTGAAGTCAAACATGGATCACAAGACGAAATATCGCACTTGTTTTTATATGTAAGCGATTCATGCATTTGCAAAAGAACAAATACGGTTGACAAAAGCTGCAAATAAAATTTTCCGTAAAAATTCCCAAGGGGCAATGCATAACAGCTTCCTACGGATTCTTCCTTACCAAAATGAAGAGGGAGTATTAGGAAGGCCGGCTAATCAAGCGATAACTCCCATTCTTATTGAATTAACTGCAGTGACTTCTTGTTTTTTCACTGCCGTTCCCTCCCTGTACCAGATCAAGAATCTAGAAAAGAAAGGACCGTGAGATGAGCTTGATCAAGAGATGAATGAAGAGGAACTTGATATGCCAGGTATGGTTAGAAATAAAGAAATGTTCGCCCTCTGCTATAAAGCAATGGTAGCTAGTAAAAGATCCTCCTATTGAAGGATTTTAGTAAAAAGGGTTGCTGTAAGGCTTGAACTTTGGGGCACTTCTGAAGTGCTAACTGCTGGTAATGAAATATATGAAAGGTAGTCTGTTACCAGCATTGTTTAAATCAAATTATTGCAATCTGCTGTGATTCGATCTCTTTTCTTCAGAAAATCAAGCTTTGTACATAAATGGCGAGTTTCTAATCGCTTTTATTCAAAAAGTTCGCACAAACCCTAGTTTTCCGCCATAGAATAAAGTGCAACGAATCACTTATTTTGGCCAAAAACATATGGCTATTGAAGATCTACGAGAGAGGAAGATTTCGTGACAAATTTCAATCAAATTGGTAAAATAATGAGAGATAGTAATTACGAAAACATGATTCCGCATTGAGAGAACCAGGCCGACTCTAAATGGCTAAATTTGTTTTAAATCAATAAATGGTTTCGATCCCAAAAAATTCTGTTTTTAGATATTAAAGGGGCACAGAAAAGATCAAGGATCCCAAAAAATTCTGTACAACCACCCATTTTTTGTTTTCCTTGAGAAGCTCCTACATTGTTTGCAAATATGAAAAGCTAATCATCACAGTACTTTAGCAGCTCGTTTTTGCACATCATTTCGCTCCGTTAGTTGTACGTAATTTGGGTGAAAGCATTTTTAACACCTTGCACTTTCATATCTAACATATAAATTCAAGTGACAATGATTCGTTCCAGTTACACCATACTTGGAGAATAATCATTACACTTCCTCAAAGCTGCCCTAATCTCCTTCAACATTGGGTTAATTCCAATATGTTTCCTGCAAAACATAAATGAAAAGGTTAAAATGTTTGGTCACTACAAAGATGGCATGGCAATAAAAAGCTTCCATTTGAGATGCAGATAGAGAAAATTAATTGCATTCTGGTCATCCAAAGAACAGTAATGATGAGCACAGACCACCTGAAATGCTTTTAACACTGCAGAGACCTCAAGGAATTGAAGATGGACCCTGCCCCTCTAATATTGAGGTATTTTTTAAACAATTTGGCATCATATTTCCTGTGACTCCGATCTATACAGAGAGATGGCACAGTAGTTTTAACAACCAGCCAGTATCATAATGTGCTCAGTTGTATTACATTCTTAACAAACGATACAGATTTATATAACTGTGTTATTTCTCATTAGGCATCTAATTCTTTTCCTCTTTGCCTTTTGCAAAAATGACACCACTGACACATGAAACTAAACAATGAATGAAGCCGGTTCTATCATATGGGCCCAAAGGGGCAACAATAAGCAAATCATTGACAGGAAAACAGCAAAGATGTTGGAAAAATAACTCTGGCAAACTTCAATAATTCCATCTCTAATGGAAAGTAATTCTGACAAACTTCAATTGAATACCAACCTGAATTAGAAAATCTTTCCCCAATGCTAAACTCAAATAAATGCTATTGAGATTCCATTTGCATATTTGATCAAATGTTTTTCTAGCCTTGAAGTCATAGGGACAAAAAAAAAAAATTAAGATGCTGTATACAAAATAAAAATCCACAAGATCTATGGGGCCTTAATGACCATTTGCATAGAAAATGCATGCACAGGAACTGCTGGAAATCATCAAAGCTATTCAAAGACCCTAAAATATAAAAGTAATTTTACCTTGACAAGGTAGCAGAGTAACAAGGTAGAAGAGATGGAATCAAGGCTAAACTATGTAAGATACAGCAAGAGGCCAAGACAACCACCAAAAAAATAAAAATAAAAAAAGAGATCAAGGAAACATCATCCGAACAAATGCAGGCCGTAGAGGTAATATAAAGAGTAAAGAACATACAAGCAACTAACACCAACAACGGCAAGGGGCCGTGGGTATTCCCCAATTTCTTTTTCCTTTTTGATTGTAGAAAGAGGAGAGGGCTGGTTTTCATGTCCATTCGATGTTTCTAGAGCTCCCTCAAGACTCTCCACTGACTTGGGGGCCATCTCATTGCAACCTATGTTAGCTATCTCTTCAATCAAGGAAGGCAATCTATCCCTTGCCTGCAACATAGAAATATTTGCGGATTTGGGTACGCATGAAGCTTTTAAGCAATTTATTGCAAACAGCACAAAAGTGACATATACAATACAAGTTTATATGACCATAAAATTATATTTTAAAATGACAAAGTTCGTCTCCAATTTGTGTACCTCTGTAAGGTCAATTTTATTTAAAATCACAACATGAGGCCGTTCAAGGTATTCAGGATTGTACATCCGCAATTCCTGCAAGCAAGATGGTCATCACTATCAAGCATTACAATGAAACAATCTCAAAAGAAATTTGACAAGATACTCCTAAACTCAAATTGTCTCATACAATAATCTCTGTAGCAAATTCTCATTTGTGATTAATGAGCATCTAGAAACTGTATGTGGACATCTCATTGGCCAAACCTTTTATAAAATCAATATATTAAGAATCTATTTTAATTTTAACACTTGAATTATTGGAAAATAATAAGTTTAATGCCCAATTTGATGCTCCGAAGAAAACCAATGCCCTTCGTAAAAGTTAAAGATTTGTTGGGGAAAAAAAAGTATTTAAGTAAATAAAGACCCCTTATTCATGAGAAATCTATTTTCTTCATAAGAAATGAATCATCCAAATCAAGTTTTGACTCTTGAGTTCCATATCACAAAATTTTGATAAAGGGTGGTTCGCTCTAGCAGAGCACTTTCCAACAGCTTATCCATAAAAACAACTCTTAGTAATGAAATTTTCCAACAAGTAGGTTGTAAACAACAGTACAGTACCAGACTTCAGGCCACAGCACTTGGTGTAAGATGTACCAATAAGTAGACTTAAACATATTGATCAAATCCCTTGATGAATCGTACATAATAAGTATCAACAAAAGACGAGGAAATATGGATTCTTAAGTAAAAAAATTCCTGATAGCACTGAACGTTAAGATATTATGTAGGACTTGCACAATTGAAGAGCAAAATAATCGTAAAACGAAGTCCATCTATCCCAATATAGGAAAAAAAGTCGACACTGAAAAAAAAATAGAATTTGCCCTTTAACCTAACAAACCAAAATAATTGATGGGCATAAAGCACATAAGAGTCTTCAAGTGCTTCAAAAGATGTCTTATGTCAAAGCTATATACTTCTTTCACTGTTCTATAATCTTTCACAGGATTCTCTGCTGCTGCGTCCACTACGTGCACCAAAAGTCGAGTTCTGCGAAGATGTCTAAGGAAATTACGTCCAAGACCCTACAAGAAGTATAAAGTTACAATCTCAATAACACTTCAGAACTTCACAACTAAAACTAACTTGAACACCATGTAAGGAGCAGTACCTTTCCCAGATGAGCTCCTTCTATTAGACCAGGCAAGTCTGCCAACGTTGCAGCAGAAGAGTATTTCAGCGCCCCCAAGCGGGGGTCACCATCGAGGCGCCCAAGGTTTGGCATTAATGTAGTGAAAGGATACTCAGCAATATCTGGTTTTGCGAATGTGATGGCAGCCAATAGAGTTGATTTTCCTGCATTTGGAAGTCCCTAAAAAACAGAGAACGAGAATACATAATTTTCTTGGAAGAATGGCAATCGTATTGACCAACATAATGTTGGCCCGTGCATGAGGGCATGCGAGCGTGCGCACAGACAAACGGAGAGAGAGAGAGAGAGAGAGAGAGACTATACTTAGTTTACAGACGAACGGAAGAGACGTGACTAGTGGTGACGAGGAGCGTAGTAATTAGTAGTAAGTAAGTAAATTAATTAATAATAATTA